GGAAAAAAAAAAAAAAAGAAAAAACCCACAGCAATTAGGTAGTCCTAGCCTGATTTAATTCTAGAAGACAAACTACAAATGGAATACTACTGGGACAGCAACATCCAAAGGATGTCCACTTGAAAGAGCAAGATGCTGAAGAGTCTCTTTTTACGCAGGACTTTAAACTGCCCATTTTATGTAAGAACAGGTTTATAAATAATAATAAAAAAAATATTCATAATTGAAGCTCTTTATCCAAACTAGGAATGAGATAGAAGTTAGATGCTAGTTCTTGGGTGCTAACTTTTAAAAATCAAGTCACACTTGACCTCTTTGAATTCAAGTTTTGGGATTTGAGATAAGCTGTGATTTAAAGGACAGTGAAAAGAGGTTGCACTCTTTTGATACATATGATGATGTTCCCTTCCAGCGATGTTGATGTCAGATAAGGCCAGCAGCAAAATGGCCACCATCAGCTGGAAACTCCGACACTGTTTAGTCAGAAAACTCTCATTTCAAGCTGTGTTCACACACACAATGCGGCATCTGAGACATTTTGGGCAGCTCCAGATCTGTCCCATTTTCCACGGATAGCTTGGAAACCTGCTTTACCCCTTATCTCTGCTTCCAGCATGGCCACGCAGCAGTTTGATGTCCAAGCGGTCTGCTTCCCAAGCAGTAGCTGGTCAGATCTCTTAACATACGCAATATTACAGAGTAAAAGCATTAAAGTACTCTGTTCAACATTTCCCCCCCTATGAATAAAACACAAAAGCAGAAGAATTATCCTGGGCACAAGGCACTTAGCAACGAAGTCATGATACACACTCCAGAATTAGTACCAGACGCAACAAGACCATGTTAACTGGGGAGGAAGATGAAAGGTTAAACTTTAATCCCTGGAGCAGGTTAGTATTAGTATAAATGGCCTCAGAGAGGAAAAACCCACTTTCCATATGGAGACATCTTCACAGTAATTAATTCCCAAATGGTGACTTTTCATATGAAAAGGATTTTCTCCCTCAGTAGGTTACTAAAACTGACTAGACACAAAGAGAGGAGCACAGGACCACCACAGACTTGTCACACTCAAGAAAAACTAAAGGTCTTAACAGGGGCAGTGGGGATTTGCCAGAGACATTACTTCCTACAAGACAAATTTTTTAGTTTTGTCTTAAGGTAGTATTATTTCCTAAAATCACATGGCTCTTGCTGTTGTAGGTCATGCAAACAATCTACCGATCTGAGTCCTTTGGGACCTCAAAGGACAAAGCAGAGGTCAGGCATTAAGACCGAAAGCTGAGCAGGTTTGAGCTGAACGGCCCAATGCCACTTAAATTTTCAAGTTAATTCACATCATAGGGTTCACTGTCTATTTTTCCACAAATATCAATGTTGTTTCCATTTTCCAGAGGGAAGGTCTCTGACCCAGCAGTGCCGACTGCAGCACCATGCTTTAGAGAGAGTTTTGGAGGTTTGTTTTTTTTTAAAGTATCCAAAAACGTAACTGAGACATAATTACAGTTTGACATTTTTGTACCCAGACAAAACTCAAAGTGGTACATAAAAGGTTTAGTTATGCACACAGCACAATAGCAAGACAACACGTGTGCTCTACTTTTTGCCACTTTAGGACATTGAAAAGTCACCGAGAAAGCAAGTTGCCTTGTACCTCCATGCAGCAGGCTCACATTGCAGATTTAATTCACTCTACCTGTAACTCACTAGACATTTGCTTCGTCTTGTTTGCAAATGCAGGAGTTTTGCATCTTATATAAAATGAAACAGGGTTCTTCTCTACTGACTCTGATGATATAAGTTTCCAAACTTCTCTGGGACTGCTTTAAAAGCGAGCTGAACGCAGAAAAGTCTTGTAACAACAGAGAACAAAAAGCAATTCTGGGTCAACCATATTCTCTGCTTTTGAAAGCTTTTCTGCTGCCAAAAGTTACATTCTCAGATGAAAGTAATTTAGCTAAAGTTATTAGTTCAACACTGGGGGAGGATATTCCCCCCCCCTCCTTTCACAGGCTGGATTAAGAATAGCTGCATCAGTTCAGTGCTGCTGCATCAAAGAGCTCATTAGGAACACGCTGCTGTTCAGAAAGGAAAAGAAACACCACGACTTCATGGAAAAATCTAAACATTAAAGGTCACATGTAACTGAAAGGGAAGGATTTGTACAGAAGCATATATGCAACCAAAACCATGTGGAAGGCATTCAGAGAAATTCCAAGAAATAAAAATAAAACGGTTAGATCTGGGAAGAACACAGAAATCAAATATAAAGGCACTCACGGAGAAGCCAGCATTAGGGTGGCTGGAAACCTACTACAGAACTAAAGGGGGTAGGGAAGAAACACAAATTCAACACTGGGCTTGTTTTCACACAGATGCTATGAAACAGATCCATAGATTTTCCCAAGTCCTTTGATCCTAAAGAGAAGAGACGCAGACAGCAGACAACGTCAGCACTACAGGCGGAGGAGTGGTCTTAGGTTCAAAACAACAGGACAAGGTAGCAGGGTTTTTATCGGGGTGACGGGAGGGTAAGGGTCACTAGACTGCCTCTAGATACTACAGTACCACTACTGTAGGGTGCCGGACTCACTCTGAAGGACGCTTATAGTAGCCTGGGCTCGAATCCACGTTATGGAGGGATTTTGCCTCAAGTCATTCCTCCTGGGATCGTTGCTGGCCCTGCACTCGTAAGTCCCAGAGTCTTCCAAGGTAAGGCGGGTTATTCTCAGCACACTCACCCCATTCGCCCCGTAGGCAGTGTTAATGGTGACACGGCGCTTCCGAGCGCCATCCCACAGCTGTTTGAAAGACTCAGCCCGGTTGACTTCAGCATACCACCACTGGATCTCTGGAGTGGGGTTCCCAACCACATCACAGTACAGTTCAAAGGCGTCCCCCGTGAGTTTAGTTTCTGACATGGGCGACTTGACAAACCCAGCTAGAGGGAGGGGCAGCAGAAACGCAGTGACAGAGCGGCAGAAAACAAGAGATCTCAAAGAACAAAGCAATGAGGTGCAGAAAACAAAGAGTTAGATAAGACATTAGCATCTACAATAACACAACTTTCATAGAAAAAGCACAACACGGAGTACTTGTGGATGGAGGTCGATAGTTTGGGAGCAGCGCACTCCCAACAGAGTATTCACGGGAGGCACAGCTTCAGGGCACCAAGTGCTTATCCTCGCCACTCCAGGGGAACCAACTGCAGCAGCTGTACTTGGGAAGCCACGGGCTGCAACGCACACCAGCTAGGAGGTACCTCCAAGCCACAGAGCAGACTGATGGGTTTTCAAGCCTTTTTCAGTTGCATGGACCTTGTAATTGGCAAGTTTTAAGTGTTCGTGCCCAGGTGTCATGTCTTTTCTCCGAAGAGTTCTCTTGCTTTACAGGACCTATCTACAGGAGAAAAAAGGGTAAAACCCTAACCTTCTGCCCTATGCAGCTCGCAATTGTGAACTCTGCTTTGACCTTTTCTTCCATGTATTTTGGACTTCCAAGGCAGGGAATTTCCCAAGATACAAGTGACCTACTTTCCCTGAAGCAGTTGGATCACTACAGCTCCAGGAATCTTACAACCTTCTAAGGTAAAGGGAATTTCAGCGGTATATACACACACAGGCCAAAAGACTGTGTCATTAGTTAGGAAACAGACAGCATCAAAGGTGCTTCGACAGACCACACGATTTTTGCCTTCTGAAATGAGATGCTGTGCTGACATTTGTGATCAGGCCAAAATATCCTCATTATAGCATGAAATCCTTCAATACTTACCAGCTTCAGAGCTGTGTTAAGAGCACAGACATACTAAGTTGTCCTTCAATCCTATTTTCAAAGGTATCTGTTGAAAGCAGTGTTGCCTTAAAGCTAGTCTCTTCCCCCACCAGGCCCCCCCAAAACCAAAAAGATTAGAATACAGCTGGCCAGACAGATTATGCAGCAAAACCCGTCATATTGCTGTGTTCCCTGGGCAGCAGGGCTTCTCATCAGCAAGCAGAGTTAGAGTGCCACACAGCTGATAAAACTCAGATTGTTTCATCCCTCTCGTCAAATTCACAGCTTATTTTCAGGAAGAGGATTGAAAGACAATTCAACGGATTTTTAGAAGAGGGAAAGGTGGACTTAAAGCCCTAGTAAAATTTCTGATGCACACTCGTTAAATAACGTTCCCCCTGCCCATCGTTTGACCACACTCATGAAACAGCAAAACAAACGGTTGTACATTGACAGACAATTACATGGGGAAGTTTGCACTACAGGTGCACCTCTAAAGAATCATTTGGGCAAGAAAACAAGACCAAGAGTCTCTACAGCACACACAGAAACCGTCCCTTGCTGGCACAGTCCTGTTTGAAGAGCAACTGTGCAGCAGCTGCAAATAACAGCTACAAGAACAAACACTCAAACCCAAAAAATATTAACCTCAGAAATTGTTTCAATTACAAACTCATTTGACAAGGGTTCTCCAGCCTTGTACTCCAGCACTAAATGAGGTGAGCTCTACGCTCAGTAGAAATACCACAGCAAGTAATCCATTGCTAAGAGAGGAAAAGCTACTGTACTGGAAGTGCCCTAATTACTAGTAGTTACAAACCGCGCTAAGACCACCATTGTTGTTTCTTGAGGTTAACAAGGATCACACTGTTTTCACACTGCTGCTTGAGTTAACACAGGAGACCAGGTTATGATCTTGCTCTGCTGGACTGTTCACATTTCAAGGGATGCTGAACAAGGAAGACTTTGCATTCCCATAGAGGCATACATGAAACAGCGAGACCAGCATCTATCTCAACATGGTTTACTAGACGCAAAAGGCTAAAGCAGTAGCATATGGCATAGGCTAGCTTCTTTCCAGATCTTAGTAGTTCTCTCTCCTATGTTAGAGCCTTTTTTCTCCTACCTTCCAATATTGAAATGCCACTCACAGCCGAAGAGATGACGGTAGCTCAGGGAAGACTGCTCAGAAAGCGATCCCCCTTCTACATGTTCCCCGTTTCCACTAAACACTGATGCACAAAGACGATGAACTGTCGTGAAATGCATCCCTGAAGTCAAAGGCCGCAATTCAATCCTACTTCTCCAGCTGTCCCAGCTACTAAGCAACCATTTCTGCAAGAAAGGCTTCTTACCTAGCCTTTGTGGCAGGGATGAAAGGGGTGTAATTGTGTATTTTGAAACAACCCTTAGCTGCACTGTTGCTGGGGCTACACAATAGTCATGTGGTATGAAAACAGTACTGTAAATCCTCTTATTAAAAGGAGTATCAGTAATTTGAATAAAACAAGCTGTCAGAAGCTTTTGGTTTTGAATCTGATTCTGCATTCACTAAGCTGTTAAGAGTACTATAACTTTTGCACAAAGCCTCAAAATAATTTAAAAAGATGAAACTGGACAACTGCATCAAAAGGTCTCTTTTGTAAACATTCTCTGGGTTTAAGTTTTAAACCTTATGTTTCCATCAGTTTCAAATTCTATTGAAAAACAATGTCTTAGATTATGATAAATTTCAATGCAACAGTCTATCGTCATCTGAGTAACCACGTCATCAGCACAGATACTCCATAATAATGGCAAAGAAAACACACAAACTGGATTTGGTGGCCCTCCCCACCCCATCAAGAGATAAAAGTGCTCCTTAGAAAGGTATTCCAGGTTAGAATAAAATCCTGGAAGGACAAATGGGAATGAAGGTGGTAGAAAAGCCTCCATATGCAGATTAATAAAAACTTAGCATTAAAAAGGACTGGCAGTGCTATTAAAAACTCTACACAAGAGTCTCAGGTTAATGTTTTGCATTTTCAGTTGTTCAGAAACAGCAAAGGGAATACATCAAACAGCATCAGTAAGTTGAGGCGATGCTTCCAGCTACTGTACATCTGCCAGAGGGCCATTTCCAATTAAGATATCTAGCCAGAAGATACAAAAAGAGCTGAAATCTGCCAGACATTTTTTTAAAAAAAAAGGAAAAAAAAAAAGAAACAAAGAAAAAAGGCTAAACATTACAGAGAATGCTCCCTGTAACACAACAGGAGTCTGGAAACTGAAGTAGTGCTTTTTGGCAATTGTCAGCGATTTCCATAATTGTTCAAAACCAAACAGAAAATGACACTATACAGATTCCATTGCTTACATAAGAGGCTTTCAGAGCCCAACAGTTTCCTTACTTGGTCTTCTCCAAGCACAGTACTCACTGCTTTGTTATTACCATGTTCTGCACAATTCTAGAGACAGGAGCATCAAAAGAACAAATACATACCAAGATGCAAACAGATCAAGCCAAGAGGTCAAGGTTTTGTTAAAGTGATTATATCTGTTTAAAACTGAAAACCTGCCTTTACTTGTAATTTACAGCTGTCTTATTTCCAAAGTGTAAACTGCAGGAAGTACTGGTTGCAAGAATGATTTTCAGCTTCAGCTTGCAAGTGTCAGCCCCGTACAGAATAGCAGAGCAAACTGTGGCCAACATTCAGAAGCTCACAAAGGTCAGGGCTCTTGGGAGGGTGAAGGAAGGAGGCAATAATCCATAGATCATACCTTAAGATCATATAGACCCATGGGAAATAGAAGAATAGCCCCAATCTTAAGTGACTCCTTAATGTCCAGTACAATAGAAATAAGCACCTTGCAGTGCTTCCAAAAAAATATTCGTATTAATATTATAATTTATTCTATTGTCATAGTATTGACAGCTGTATTTATGTCCTTATAGGCATCAGTAAGTTATTCTGTTACACAGTGAGCTTTCCTCATTAAAATAAAAAGCGTTGTTTTGTGATTTTTTTTTTAAAGGCTAATTGCTATCATGCTTAAAAGAACCAGGAAAAATCTATTGTTAAATATCCGTCACAAGGTCGGTTAGGGTTAGGGTTAGGGTTAGGGTTAGGGTTAGGGTTAGGGAATGATGTGCAAGAAAGAGAATGCATGACGGTCCAGAAGGTGTAGCTATTCAAACACACTATTATGCTTCCAACCAATTTTTTTTTGTTGTTAATAACTGATGGTTGTCTGACCAAAGGACAAAATGAAGAACCAGTGTCAATAATATTAAATCACTTCTGAAGTTATATTTGTTTATTGAAGATTTTATCTCATCCACAATTGTGAGGATAAAGGTGAGAAGGAAGCAATGGACTAATGCTTTAAAATTAGAGAAACAAATTAGTCTCTACATAAAACTCTGCCAAAGATGAATGAAGTCTAGTGCACAGCAGGGCTCTTCACATTTGCAAAAACTGTATTTTAAAATTTGTACTGTAGTGAAGAACCACTAAATCCAGATTTAAAAAAAAAAAAAAAGGCATTTTGAAAGACAGGTGCACTTGAACTGGGAGTGGGGTAGAAGCTAAGAGCTATTCAAAAGAGCAGCCAAAAATTTCCATATGCAGTAAAAGAAACATGTACAGCAGACTCTCTGCGCCAGAAAGCTGGAAAGGCTCCATATTAAATAAATCTAGAGTTCAGAAGAGGAGAGTGGACAAGAAGCCTGAAGATGGAGAGTTTAAATGAGCATAAAAGCTTAGCTTTACCACTCCTGAGCAACCTGTTTTCATTAATGAGGCTTTATCAATGAAAGACACCTTTTCAGATTATTTTTCTTCTGCCAATATTTATGAGCTACCTGTCGGCCAAAAGTAAGCGAGGCCAAGCCAAGCTACTTTCCAGCTTTGGCATATAAATGAATCACAGCTTTACATACTAGCATACCCCTTCCAACTTCACACGGCAGCAGCACCCTTTCCAACTGCAGCCATTTCCCTCACTGACAGAAGCCAGAGAAGAGTCGGCAACCCAGTACCTCTGGGAGAAGGAACAAGGCTTATCTTCTTGCTGACATGATCTTGTAACTGTAGGATTAAGTATAGCATACAACTAGAAATTTATACACATTAGAAGTGCATGGAAATATTTAACTGTAATTTTGACCAGCTTCTGAAGCCTGTAAAACAGCTTATGTCTACCTTGGCTGGAGCCCAAATGAGACACAAAAGACAATTCCTGAATAGCTTAAAACAAGTACCGCAATGACCAGAGCTTCCCCACTTCCTCACCTGCTAGAATGAGCACACAAAAAAGGATCTTGATAGAGAGATCAACAATTCTTATAAAATATGCTAGCAGCGATCTGCCAGTCTAAGAATATACAGAAAGCAGTACCTGACAAAAGTGAGTTGCAGAAATGATTGCGCTATTCCTTTAAATAACCTTTTGTTACTGAAATTTATCACAAGATGCACTTGGTTGCAAAAGAATCAATGTCAATGGCACTGGAGAAGCAAAGCAGGGAGAATATTGGTCTTCCCAAGTTAAAGTCTGGTCTAAAGAAAGGGGTTTAAAGAAATAAAGCTAGGTTTTGCCTTAAGAAAATGTAGGTAAGTGCTAGCTGAGGAAAAGAAATGTTAAACCAGTCCTGGTAGAAAGACAGAAGCAGCCAGGTTTAAATGAAATACCGGTTTTGCAAAAAGCCCTAACAACATAGAACAAACTAATTTCTCTAGGTTTTATTTGTATCAAGCACGAAGATTAAAGCTGAAAACAAGCGTAAGACGATCAACATCAAAGAGCAAGAGGAGACTGTCTTGAAAACGGAGTCTGCAAAGATCGGGAAACAAGAAGCTATGAAGCCCAAGAGCACAAGGGGCTGATCAGAGCAGTTCAAAGCAGGACACAGGCACAAGAACATACAAAGGTGGCCCAAACGAAGGAAATGCAATGTATTTCCAAGGACGTTTTCAACCACAAGGAATATAGCTGTAACAAAGCAATTTTTACACTCGGGGGCAAAGCAGTGCACATCTCTGTCAAGCAAGATAATGCTCCTATCCTGTCCTGATCCTGTCTTTATCTTGTGGTGAATTCCACCTATATGAAGAAAGAAAACACGGTTCAAAGCTCAAAAAAAGAGAGTTTGCAAAGCTAGTGCAAAAATAAACCTGATTTTCAGCATGAACGCACAAAACAAATAAAATGTAGACTGCTTAGGGACTGAATGTTTTACAGATTGTCTGTATTTACAATGAAAGCCATCATTTAAACAGCAAGAGGCTGATGTTTCCTATTTGTCCTGTTAGCTCACCATATGTCTGTATTTCACTGCTTCTCCACTGCTTCCAGGCCTTTAGCACGCTTCTGGAGATTTTATTTCTGTGCATTGGTTGAGAGTTTTGCCTGCAATTCCACTTATTTAGAGACTGAACAAAGTAGAGCTAAGCTAGCCCTTTTTTTGTTTCCTTGTCTCTGAAAACCCATTAAAAATTTCCTTACTAATATAGTGCAATTCATTTTTGTAAATACATGACTTCAGGAATG